GAATCCAGAGAAAGTTCCATCCCATTTGGGATAGTGCCACAGTGTTGTTAACATCCACCTGAAGAACAGGAAGACAGGACGTTAGTTTGACGTCTCAGCAAAGGGCGGCGTCTTTGACACTGACCGCCCCCTCGGCACCGCACTGGAATGTGAGCTCAACTGCTAACGTGGGATTTCACAAAAATGATTTGGATGAGGAAGGCCATTCGGTCGATCCAACAGCATCTTATCAGCCCATCTTATTGTGCCTCCATCACAACACCAGACCAACCCCACTCCATGGTACTGTATCCACTGCCAACTAAGCCAAGTTCAGGGCGGGAGGATCTCCCATTGCCCCCCAAGGATGGAGTTATCCACTCAGAACTGGTGATACCCAGAGAGCCCAAACCCCGTAACAGTCAGTGCTGCAGAGGGGGAAAGGGAAGCAATAGGAAAACAACCCCGAGCTGGGGGTGCAATAAACAGAAATCTGCCCCCCCTCACCTCCCTCCCCCTCCTCTCCCTCCCCTCACCTCCCTCCCCTCCCCTCAACCCTCCTCTCCCTCCCCCTCCTCTCTCTCCCCCCTCCCCTCACCCCTCCCTCCCCTCACCCCTCCCTCCCCTCACCCCTCCCTCCCCCTCCTCTCACCTCCCTCCCCCTCCCTCCCTCCTCTCCCTCCCCTCACTCCCCCTCACCTCCCTTCCCCCCCCTCCCCTCACCTCCCTTCCCCCCCCCTCCCCCTCACCCTCCCCTCACCTCCCTCCCCCCCCTCCCTCCCCTCACCCCTCCTCTCCCTCCCCCCCCCCCTCCCCTCACCCCTCCCCCCCCTGTTCCGGGCTATTAAACTGCACCGCACCCAACCCCCCGGTGGATTGGATACCTTAACGTGGGCACTCGTGGCGTCGGGAGGAAACTGCGGCCACACAGTGCAGTGCGCGGTCAGGAAGAGATGGGCTTTGGGAACTGCGGGTCACGTGGCAGATGTCGGTCAGAGAGAGAGAGAGAGAGGAGAGAGGAGAGAGAGAGGAGAGAAGGAGAGAGAGAGGGGAAAAAAACGCCTTAAAGGCGCTCAAAGCAGTTGTCTCCCTCTCCTCCTCCGCCCGGAGCTGTCACACGGTAACTCACGGCGGGGGGGCGGGGGGGGGGGGGGTCTGCACGGCCCGGACCGGACATCACATCACATCAGATCAGATCCCGGGGAAGGAGTGGAAGCGATGTGACTCACAGCCGCACCCGCGCCCCTCCCGTCAGGGACTCGGCCGTCGCTGCAATCTTCGACCCCATTAGAGAGCACAGACCCTCCACTAACAGCGACCCCCGCATTCCCGACCCCCGCATTCCCGACCCCCGCATTCCCGAGCCCCGCATTCCCGAGCCCCGCATTCCCGAGCCCCGCATTCCCGACCCCCGCATTCCCGAGCCCCGCATTCCCGAGCCCCGCATTCCCGACCCCCGCATTCCCGACCCCCGCATTCCCGAGCCCCGCATTCCCGACCCCCGCATTCCCGAGCCCCGCATTCCCGAGCCCCGCATTCCCGACCCCCGCATTCCCGACCCCCGCATTCCCGAGCCCCGCATTCCCGACCCCGCATTCCCGACCCCCGCATTCCCGAGCCCCGCATTCCCGAGCCCCGCATTCCCGAGCCCCGCATTCCCGAGCCCCGCATTCCCGAGCCCCGCACGCGATGCAAAATAACGGGCGTCACAAGAATGCACGTCAACTGTGTACAGACCGGGAAGTCGGTTACAAAGGATCCGATCGGCGGTGAGAAGGAGACAGGGATGGAGGGGGGGGGGGGGAGGGAGGGGAGGGGGGGGGAGGGGGGAGGGAGGGGAGGGGGGGGGAGGGGGAGGGAGGGGAGGGGGGGGAGGGAGGGAGAGGGGGGGCGGGGGGGAGGGGAGGGAGAGGGGGGGGAGGGAGAGGGGGGGGGAGAGGGAGGGGGGGGAGGGAGGGGGGGGGTAGTGTCGCCTGAGAAAGGATCGGGAATAACGAAGGCATTTCGGAATTGCTCGTGAAATCGTCCGATTACAGGCGATGGGATCGATGGATCGATCCCTTTGTCCCCGCGCTCTGCCCTCACTCCCTCACTCCCTCACTCACTCCCTCACTCCCTCACTCACTCACACCATCGATAGCCTCTGTTCACACAATGACCAAAAACTCTAAAGTGACAATTAATAATGATCAAAGGAATAATACCAACCGCCGCCTCCACACACACACACACACACCAAATCACTGCAATACGCAAGTTACTGTACCCCCCTCCCCTCCCCCCCTTCCCCTCTCCCCCCCCCCACACCCCCCCTCCCCTCCCCCCCTCCCCACCCCACACCACCCCCCCTTCCCCTCCCCACCCCCCACACCCCCCTTCCCCTCCCCACCCCCCACACCCCCCTTCCCCTCCCCACCCCCCACACACCCCCCCCTCCCCACCCCCCCACCCCCCCACTTCACTGCATTTCAATGCACTCTCAGTCCCAGACATCTCCAGTCAGTGGGTTTCACGGTGTATCTCTGTCGGATGTGGGTATTAAAAGGACTGGAATTCGCACACAGTCTCAGTAACAATAAACCCTCTGAACAATCAGCGCTGTTCGGATGTTACAGGACATCTTTGTTTCAAAAAAATGAACCTTTGTATCATTCCTTTATACATATATTAACAAAAGCCCCTCATGGTAACATATCGAAACTACAGCAGTTACATTTTAACAAGCCGTTAAAAAGCGCACACAGTACTCGCCCAGCACAGCTCAGTCCAGCTCAGCCCAGCACAGCTCAGCCACAGCCCAGCACAGCTCAGTCCAGCTCAGCCCAGCACAGCTCAGCTCAGCCACAGCCCAGCACAGCTCAGCCCAGCACAGCTCAGCCCAGCCCAGCACAGCTCAGCCCAGCTCAGCCCAGCCACAGCCCAGCCCAGCACAGCACAGCTCAGCCACAGCCCAGCACAGCTCAGTCCAGCTCAGCCCAGCACAGCACAGCTCAGCCACAGCCCAGCACAGCTCAGCCCAGCACAGCTCAGCCCAGCACAGCTCAGCTCAGCCACAGCCCAGCACAGCTCAGCCCAGCACAGCTCAGCCCAGCCCAGCACAGCTCAGCCCAGCACAGCTCAGCCACAGCACAGCCCAGCACAGCACAGCTCAGCCACAGCCCAGCACAGCTCAGCCACAGCCCAGCACAGCTCAGCCCAGCACAGCTCAGCCCAGCCCAGCACAGCTCAGCCACAGCCCAGCACAACCAGCCACAGCCCAGCACAGCACAGCACAACCACAGCACAACCAGCCACAGCCCAGCACAGCTCAGCACAGCACAACCACAGCACAGCACAGCACAACCACAGCACAGCTCAGCACAGCTCAGCTCAGCCACAGCCCAGCACAGCTCAGCCCAGCACAGCACAGCCACAGCCCAGCACAGCTCAGCACAGCACAGCTCAGCCCAGCACAGCACAGCCACAGCCCAGCACAGCTCAGCACAGCACAGCTCAGCCCAGCACAGCACAGCCACAGCCCAGCACAGCTCAGCCCAGCACAGCTCAGCACAACCACAGCTCAGCCCAGCACAGCACAGCTCAGCCACAGCACAGCACAGCTCAGCCACAGCCCAACCACAGCACAGCTCAGCACAGCTCAGCCACAGCCCAGCACAGCTCAGCCACAGCTCAGCCACAGCCCAGCACAACCACAGCCCAGCACAGCTCAGCCCAGCTCAGCCCAGCACAGCTCAGCACAGCCCAGCTCAGCCCAGCCCAGCTCAGCACAACCACAGCACAGCTCAGCCACAGCCCAGCTCAGCCACAGCACAGCACAACCACAGCACAGCTCAGCCACAGCCCAGCTCAGCCACAGCCCAGCTCAGCCACAGCACAGCACAACCACAGCACAGCTCAGCCACAGCCCAGCTCAGCCACAGCCCAGCTCAGCCACAGCACAGCACAACCACAGCACAGCTCAGCCACAGCACAGCTCAGCACAACCAGCCACAGCCCAGCACAGCTCAGCACAGCACAACCACAGCACAGCTCAGCTCAGCACAGCACAACCACAGCACAGCTCAGCACAGCTCAGACACAGCACAGCTCAGCACAACCAGCCACAGCCCAGCTCAGCTCAGCACAGCTCAGCACAACCACAGCACAGCACAGCTCAGCCACAGCCCAGCACAGCACAACCACAGCACAGCTCAGCACAACCAGCCACAGCCCAGCACAGCTCAGCACAGCACAGCTCAGCCACAGCCCAGCACAGCACAACCACAGCACAGCTCAGCACAGCACAACCACAGCACAGCACAACCACAGCACAGCTCAGCACAACCAGCCACAGCCCAGCTCAGCCACAGCACAGCTCAGCACAGCCACAGCTCAGCACAGCACAACCACAGCACAACCCAGCTCAGCACAACCCAGCTCAGCACAGCCACAGCACATCTCAGCCCATCTCAGCCTCAGCACAGCCCATCTCAGCCCAGCAGCACAGCTCAGCCCAGCACAGCCACAGCCCAGCACAGCCACAGCTCAGCCCAGCACAGCCCATCTCAGCCTCAGCACAGCCACAGCTCAGCACAGCTCAGCCCAGCACAGCTCAGCCCATCTCAGCCTCAGCACAGCCACAGCTCAGCACAGCTCAGCCCATCTCAGCCCCACAGCACAGCTCAGCCCATCTCAGCCTCAGCACAGCTCAGCCCATCTCAGCCCCACAGCACAGCTCAGCCCATCTCAGCCCCACAGCACAGCTCAGCCCATCTCAGCCTCAGCCCATCTCAGCCCAGCAGCACAGCTCAGCCACAGCACAGCTCAGCCCATCTCAGCCTCAGCCCATCTCAGCCCAGCAGCTCAGCCCAGCAGCACAGCTCAGCCACAGCACAGCTCAGCCCATCTCAGCCTCAGCACAGCCACAGCTCAGCCCATCTCAGCCCCACAGCACAGCCCATCTCAGCCCAGCAGCTCAGCCCAGCAGCACAGCTCAGCCCATCCCAACAAACATCACAACGATCCTTAGGATCTCGCCTGACCTTTTTGGAGAGTCTCTGAGGCCGGGTAGGAAGGGGGGAGTCAGTCCTCTTAGTGTCTCCTCAGATTGAATAGTTTGTTTTGCTTCCTCCCCCCCTCTCTCTCTCTCTCTCTCACTCACACACACACACAAAGCAAAATAGGTTTGTGCTCCTCCTTGGGAGTAAATGCTCCCGAAGCCCAGGCTCAGGGCGGGGAGGGGAGGGTTGGTGGCCAAGAAATGCCAGGAAATGCACACGCAACGGTGCTGGGACAGCCACTGGACATGAGCAGTGCTGCAGCTGAGGGGAATCTGGGAGTTGTAGTCAATTTGCACAACACAAACCCTTTTTGAAACCTATACTCCATTCCATTCCCCCCTACCTTCCCTCTCTCTACACCCCACCCACCCCCCACCCACCCTTCTCCTTCTTCTTCTTCTTCTTCTTCTCCCCGCATCGTGCACAATCGAGAAAATAATGTCTCGCCATACGGTATATAGTTTGGGGCGTGACGCGCCATGCGACCGGCTTAGGGTGGTGAGAGGCAAACTGGATGGCCCTCGGTCTTGTTTTGTCCAGCAAATTCTTACCGATGATTCTTAAAAACAATAATAATTTGGTCACTCAATCCGCCACCGCTGTGGGCGATTGGCTTTTGTGTCTTGCCCACCAAATATACAGTCAATTCACTTTACAGTGTATTCTGTGAAGCGCATTTGAGAAGTCTTAGATGATGTGATAAGTCGCTCTCTCAAATGCAAGGATTATTATTTATTATTGTAAGATCTTCAGTAGATTAAAGCAGTGAAGTTGCCGGTTTATCAGAAGAATGTTGCAGGGTGAAATGCTGCTCTCAGGAGATCCTGTACCACGAGAGTGGGAACTTGCCATTAAGCTTTGACAATAAACGACCTATGTTTGCCCTAATCATAGAGAATATTACAACACAGAAGTATGCCACTGGACTCAACAAGCTAACAGTGCTTTCCTCCACTTAGGCCAATTTACCTTTCTTGGTGGCTCCCTTTGTACTTCAATATTGCTCCTCTTCGAGCACTGAGATGTCACCCAGCATGAAGGGTGCTATATAACAAGAAGTTGCATTTATATAAAAGCAAGTTGTTGTTGTTGAACCTGTAACCTCTTGACATGCCACCTTGGGTATCTGGGGACTGTAGCTCAGTGGTTAGAGCACTCACCTTACAAGCAAGAGACTTGGTTTGATTCCCTGCATGACGCGACATTGGCCAAGGTTCCTTACTCCACACGCCTCTGTTTACCTTGCAGTATGTAGGAACCCGGTTGTTAGTCGATTGGCGGATCACTTTTCTAGCGATAATAATTCCTTCCAAAAAAAATTGGTCACTCAATCCACAGCTGTTTGTGGGACACTGCTGTGTGCAATTGGCTGCCGTGTTTCGCCCACACATATACGGTCAATTCATTTTACAGCATATTCTGTGAAGCACTTTGAGACGTCCATAAGACGTGAAAAGCGCTATATCAAATGCAAGGATTATTATTATTATTCTGTGATGTGCTTTGAGATGACTTGAAGACGTGATAAGGCGCTTTATCAAATGCAAAGATTATTATTATTATTATCTTGATCGCAGGAGATTCTGTCCAATTTCCTTTTAAAATAATTTAAACTCAACTTCAATTAGTTTACCAACCAATCTGTGGGTTAAATAAATATATTCTAATTACATCAAATATCTCCAAACACTTCAAATGGGTGACTATATTTGTAGGCTGCCAATTTTTACACAGCAATGTCCCACAAACATCCATGAAATGAATAACCAGTTTACCTGGACGATTGTTGGCCAGGAAACTGGGAAAACTCCTCATTTTCAATAGTGCCATAGGATATTTAACATCCACCCGAACAGTCAGATAGAACTTCAGTTTAATGTTTCATGGGACCACTGAAAATGCACCAATCCCTTAGTCCTCGCGCTTTGGGATGTCCTCCTGACATGAAAGGCACTATACAAATTTAATTTTGCTGTTGTTGCACTTTGCTTGAAGCTGCCATTATTTTAAATTGGTGCCCTTTACTAAAGTGCCTGATGAATGGGCAGACAGGACCTTCGACAATTTCATGAGAATGTTAGCCTAGACAGTGAGCTCAAAGTCCCAACAAAGGGATCGAACCACTGAGAGTGATTTTAACTTAAATAACAAACTTTGGAAAAAGTGGCCTGGATAGTGAGTTGCCTGTATTGTTAAGATACCGTTTACTGTACTGAATGCTATGGAGTAGGGAAGGACAGTAAATCATTAAGTTCCCGTCTGATAATTGAAGACATGTCTGTTTTGTGGGGAAATGAGAGAAGACAAAATTAAAACCTGCTTATGATGATCTCTCCCACAACTGATGCATTATTTCACCACACAAATAAACATGACAGCCTCCATGGGTACATATATTACTATGTATTTAGGGTTGCTACATTTTGGAACAGAATATTTTTTTGCTGGGGTGAAGGAGATTGCAGAGCTACAGAGGGACGTGACCCATGGTGGGATTTAAATTTAAGGACCAGTATCTAGAATTTGAAGAGATTTGTTTTGAGGCAGTTTTTGATGGCAGGGAGAGCAGTGGCAGAGTAAAATGTTTTTTTTAAAAAGGCAAATTAACAGAATAATAGAGAATTACTTAGAATTATAGCATTCAGGGAAATTCTGGTTGCAGGATTATTTATACTTAGCTAAAACCAGATGCATGCCAATGATCTTTTTCTGCTCCTATACATTTCGATGTGCAGAAGATAACAAGTTCATTAGGAATTATTTTGTCTCAGTGTACCTATAACTTTTCTGCTTGATTAGTATGTGTAAGACTTAATGTAGCCTCAGCCTGCCAATCTGTACAGATTAGTTCTCATTAATGGACAACATTTTTATCCATAACGCCTAATCATTTGGAAATGCTTCAAACTGCTTCACGATAGTTGGTCAAGTCACTTTTTTTGCAGGTGAATGCGGCAGCTAACACACACAATCAAGTCCCACAAATAGTCGGAAGACAAACGACCAATTAAACTGATTTGTTATCAAAAACCAGAAAAAATTCCCTTTTCTTTTTGACAGATAGTGTCATTGTTCACTTGTCAGCCTTAACAGAGAGAGTCATCAAGGTAGCTGAATCAGCGAGGGGGGGAGGGAGAATCAATCAATTTTGCCCTCACTTGTCATCCTTGTCAACATTTTTTTTAGAGTTTTGAAAGCAGAGAGGGAAATAGTGAAGTGGATGGAGATGGTAGTGTATTTATTAACCATTGCTCAGAGGGAAATAGCCTATCAATTTCATTCTGGGTTTATTCTGTTGTATGTGTAACTGTGTGTAGAATATATATATATATAAAAATATGTAAATAATAGCCAGTGAAAAGGATTGGTTGTGAATTGCACAACCAATGTATATGTTTCTTAATGATTGTTACATATGGTTTACACAAAGCACGTATACACATAGTGTAAGACACCGGCTGACCAAAAAAATATATGTAGCATATAGTTTCCAGTACAGACTAGTTGGTCTGAATGGTCTGTTGCCGTGCCATATTATTATACACAATACAAATTTACATTCAACGCTCTAACTGATCTGGCCGCTGAGATCTGCTGATGAACATGGCTGGCTACTCTGTCATCAATATAACAGAAATACTTTTAGTAGATGAAAGCTTATTCAATGAGTTGGAACGACTGAGAAAGTTGCATATTCACATTCTGGTCTGAGCTGATCTTAGCAATGACTGTATATTTTGTGGGCGAAATACGGCAGCCATTTGCGCACCGAAGAGTCCCACAAACAGTTGTGGATTGAGCAATCAAATTATTATAATTTTTTAAATTCTTATTTTTTTAAAGTATTATTATCCCTGGAAAAGCAATCCACCAATCAACTAACAACCAGGTTCCTACTTACTGCTCAGTAAACGGAAGCGTGTGGAGTAAGGTAACCTACCTAACATTTCGCCCTGCCCAGCAATCAAACCCAGGAATATAACTCTAGAAGGGTACAATTATGATTGATTATCCTGCCTGCATTCCCTGGGGACTTTTCTCTAAAAATAGCCAGTCATGTTTGGAATTTCCCATTGAAAAAAAGTAACATAACAATCCCTGTTTTCAGTGATTGACACGTGATTGTGCCCACTGTTTAGGCTCACATCCTTTTATAAAGATGTAACAAAAACATCACTATTTTTAGCATTCAGTTCATGAGAGGCCTCGTGAGATAATGGGTTGTTTGACTGTGAGGGGCATTGCAGAGACCCTGATTCTCTCTTTAACTGATATGCATTCACAACCAGTAGGGGGTCATTGGATGGCAATCACGAGGGGAATACCCACAACTCCTAACTCAGCTAAAATGACCAAACTCAGCAGATTGGGGATCAAATCGTGCATTTTTTATTTGGGTGTTCCTCAAACAAGAATGTAGGTTATCCCTCAGATAACCATAAACCCACAAAACCTGGTTCCCAAATAGTCATGCACTCATGTTTCTCCACTTGTCCTTGTGGGAGTGGATCAAATTTGTCAGACCAGCACCCCTGCTATCCTGATCCCAGCCAACAGAGGGCTGGCATTCCTATGCCCAGCTGCATAATAATAATAATCCTTGCATTTGATATAGCGCTTTTCACGTCTTCTAGACGTCCCAAAGCGCTTTACAGAATATACTGTAAAGTGAATTGAGTGGGCGAACGCGGCAGCCAATTGCGCACAGCAATGTCCCACAAACAGTCGTGGATTGAAAATGACCAATTTATTATTGTTTTGTTTTTTGGAGGGATTATTATTAGGCTCTGTGTGGAGTAAGGAAACTTGTCCAAGGTTTCGCCCTGCCTGGAATTGAACCCAGGTGTCTCGCTTGCATGGCATGAGCCCAGTAACCAAGAGCTGAAGGCAGATCTGTATTGAGTTTCTCCGCTCCTCTTTGTGGGGGTGGATCAAACTCCTCAGATCAGTGCCTCATTACTCATCTCGGCCAGTCGCTCCTGGCAGTAGCTCCATGCCCCACGATGAATCATTGCGTGGCTTAGAACCTGATTCCCTAACATAATGAACCTCAAAGGAAGGTGCACTGGCAGGTTGCAATTTATATTTACTACTTCTTTATCATAATTATTTGTATTATATAATATTATGTTTATTATATAAGTTATATGTCATTTATCATATTAGAATTTGTGGAGTCCCATAGCGAGCTAGTTGGACCTTGGTCTTCTTTCACTTATCAAATT